TGTCAGATTGTGTCCATGAAGAGCCTGAAGATCCAAGACACAGTCCCTTTTCAACCTTATGTGCACAGTTGGGGGAAGTACAATGACCTCTATGTGGGTTGCTTGGGGGGTGACATTCTGCATGTGTTTGAAGGACCCAAACCCTCTAGCCGTGGAGTATCAGCTGGTGAACCGGAGCCACCCTTAAAGAACACACAGGTACGCAGCAGAAGTGAAGGCGGAGCTGGCCAGCCCGGAGAGCCGCCGCAAAAAGGGGAGAGTCAATCTTCTATTTCCAATGAAACTCAACCTGGAAAAAGAGACTCCGTCCTCCCAGGCCTGCTTGGGTTTGACCGCATGGCAAGAAAGCGCTCGTTATCGACCAGCTTAAGTACCAAAGATCCCGCGGGAAAGACGAACACCACTGTCAGTAAAGAACCTAGCCTAGCCCTGATGAATCCACCTCCACCTACTCCACTTGTCTGGATTGTGAAATCTTCCGGCAAGGTCCAATATGCGATCCACACCCTTCTTTTGGGTAAGGATCATGTAGCCATTGGCGGCAAGGGAGGGGTAATCAGCTGGCTGAGAGTGGCGAAGAGAGAGAAGTCGTCGGGGGGGGTATCAAGAAGTAGGGGTGGTGGAAGCCGTCCGGGTACCGGGGAAATCAATGCGCAAGAGGGGAAGCATGGGATCTTGGAGAGCGATCGAAGTGGAAGCCCCAGCCACGACAAGGATAAGAAGACAGCGGCTGATAGTGAGCGGGCCGGAAGCTCACAGAGGGAGAGAGAGGCCCTCACCCCAAAAACCACTTCCGGACAGGAGTCGACTAGTGGCGTCCGCTTTACGGGGATCCCAACGGAGATGAAGAGCAGCACAAGACCTGAAAACAGTTCCAGGGAGGCTGATAGAGACCAGACGGACGCTTTGGCAGGGTTTGAAAAAGCAGGAAAATTCCTCGAGGTCTTCTTTACCCTGGCTACTCAAGCATCGTCAGTGAAAAGCTTGGAGTACAATGCTGATGGTTCTCAGGTGTGCGATCTCCTCTCTGCCTTTTCTCTCTTTTTTCTCTATCAGTGTGACAGCTATTATTTTCTGGCACCACAGTGTAAGGCAAGGAGATCAACTCGCTGCAGAGCGAAATCTCGTCTTAAGTCGCGGGGTAATTGAACTTAATTCAAGTTAATGCACAAGGAAGAACCAAAACTGCTGCATTTTGGCCCCCCCCAAAAAAGGCCCTAAACGAACCCCATGACACGATGTCGTTGGTCCAGTTCAACCTGTTTTGGGTCAGGGTCCAGACCTAGGTCTAAGGTCCAAGGTTGGACTGGACCCAGGCTTCCTTACCCAGGGCCGCGGCCTGCATTCTAGCCCACTGCAACCTCTCTTTTGTTTCAGAGTCGACAGTCATCATGATTCAAGGACCCAGGGCCCAGGGGGGTAAAAAACAAAGAACCGAGGCCCAAGGTTGGACTAGACTAGAGTAGTATGAGGGCAACCACTTTTGTTCCAAAGTGCAGCATTGGAATCAAGGCCCAACCACTTTTCTTCCAAAGTGCAGAATTGGAACCAAGGCCCAAGGTTGTGCACCACCGTCGTCAGCCGAAATCCGAATAGAATGTATTGCTGGGTATATCAGACTGATTCTGTGCGGGTAATTGCATTCATTAAAGTTCATTTAGAATGTTGTGTAGCGACTTGTGAGGCCTTAAAGCATCGGTTAGTCAACAGTACCGTAAAACCCATAATGCTCGTCAGAAAAAAAGATCCAGTCTCATCCAGAATAGTAAAAAGTGCTAAAAACGTACGCCATTACTACAGCTGGTCTGGACCAGTGCAACCTTGTAAACCACCTTGGTAGAACCAGAGTGCTTGGATGCTCTCAAAGCAGCGTAGTATACACTATACTCCACAAGTGCGTATATACTATACAATGTATACATACTGTATATTACGTACCCAACTGCCACCTGACGTGAACTCGACCATGGGGAAATCAGTTACAGGGTTTACAGCTTGCAACTCGTCCCGCTCACCTCTCTGGATCTTGCGTGCGGCTTCTTTGATCCTGCTTTGTTGGATTCTGTACTGTCAGATGCTTGTTGGGACATCCGATGGATTGGTGATGATAATCCGCATTCATGTACATCTGTTATCACCTCCGAAGCAAGGAACACTAGGCAGACAAGTGTCTACCGTTGGAGGTTCACAGCCTACAGCAGTTGCAGAGGAGCAACTACGGTTCATGTATCACAGCGGCCCAGTGACGGGGCTAGCATCGATTTGGTAAGACCATTGGTCTGTAGGATATGATGTGTAGGCCCTATAGGGTTCATAAAATATTAAAATAATAAAAAATATATAATTTCAAATTTAATAATTTATCCCATTTCATGACTCATCACAGTGGCCCAGTGATGGGGCTAGCACCGTTTTGGTAAGAGCGCTGATCTATAGGATGATGTATGGGGTTCATAAAATATATAATATAGTATTAATATATATGTCATAGAATCTTCTCCCTCTCTGCCTACGGTTAACCAGGCAGTTCGGGTTTACGATATATAATTAATTAATAATAATAATATATTATATATGTCATCTCATGACTCCCTGATTTGCAGAAGCAAAACAAAAAACAGGGACGAAGAAGGTGAACAAACAGAACTGGATACAAACATAAGGAACAAAAGAGAGTGAGGCTCACTCATTCACATCATTTTGGCTGGCTGGTCAGCGGCAGTGCTGCTGGGCCGCTGGGTCACTCGATGAGTGCCACGCCAGGAGGAGAAAGGGCACTGGCGGGGGGAAGAAGGCTGGCTGAGAGGGCGCAGAAGGAACGCAGTGGCCATAGCCAGGCTGCTGGCGCCGGACCCGAGGAGGTTGGGAGGAGGTTCTTGGGCTAGGGACAGAGTGTGGGGGAAGACGAGGCATGGGGGGTGTTTGAGGGCGCTTACCTGGTAGTGATGAGCAGGTCGCTCCAGTCGGACTCTTCGTTCGCCGTCGGGCTGCTGCACTTCATGAATACCTGTTGTAGTTTAGGAAGTCTGATAGGTGCTGCCTGATCGTAGTCTGGGCGCTGAGCGCCAGATAGGAGAGTGACATTGGGGACAACGGTGTTGAAGGCGAGAAGAGGGCTTTCATCATCAGTGCTTGGCTCATGGTTATTTGGTGTTTTTTTTTTATAAATATATATATTAAAGAAATAGCACGATTTTATTATATGAGCAAAAGGGGCCCGGGAATCCTTCCACATCTTAACCTGGGATGCTGGGGCGGATACCCAGCTTAGGCTCATACTGGAAAACGGGTCCAGTGTCCCATGCTTTAAAATCTCAACATGCTATCCCAGAACAAAATATAAAAACTCGACTAACAAGAACCACAAACAGTGAAAAAAAATAAAAAGATCCAGTGGCGTAGCTCAATTGGTCAGGCACGCAAGTGGCATTCAGGAGGTCGTGGGTTCAACCCCCATGACCGCCTGTGGCACGCTCGGTGCCAACCAACTGAGATCGTCAGCTGGATCCTCCCAGTTGGTATTAGTAAGGTCTTCAGCCAACACGGGTATGAGTGCGCGTGTGAGTGGGTTGCGTGTGGTGTCTGAGAGAGTGTTGGCTTTAGACAGTCCTATACCCAATGGGGGTGGGGGAAGATGAAGTGGGCGGCACAGTTACTGGCAAATGTTCGGTCCTTGTGTTAGCCGCGCCCCCACCGGCAGCCCCAACCCTGCACCCTAAACGCTAGGACAAAAGGGCAAACGTGCCGTTACCTCCCTCCACTGAGAGAGGCAACCTCCCTTCACCGAAGAGAGGTAGAAAGCTATGCTTGCAGGGGTCCCTGTATAGCCTTAGGAGTAGTGGTAGGTAGTGAAAGGACAAAGATATGTTCCATGACATGGCAGAGAATGCCAGTTAAAAATATGTGAGGTGAGAGAAAAATATATGGCTGTCCCCCGATGAGGAGAAGGCAGCTTGAAAAAAAGAAAGAAAAAAAAAAAGGAGAGGAAGAAAAGTTCAACCAAGGCACTGTGCCTGTTATTTCCTGGTGCTATCTGCTTTCAGTTTGTGCACAGAGTTATTTGGTTTCTGTCATTCACATTGCTCATTTTCCCCGCATCATCGTAAAGAACTGCCTGGTGAACTGTAGGTTACAGGGAGAAGAGGACAACAAATGAAGGGCTCACACCTGGATCGTTTTTGTCTACATTGGACACAAGTGGCTGTCACAGAAGTTGGAAAGGCGCTTTCACAGTCTGAGTTTTTCTTAAGAAGGAAGACCCAGATTGTGGAAGCACGCGTCTAACGTGTGTAACGGTTTGTTTCTTAAAAAGGAAAAAAAATTGCATCTGTACCCCACGTAAAGATGGGAATACCCGCTGTACCCAGTCCCAGCACCAACTTGCACCGATACCCGGAAAAATGCCGGTGGAAATTATTTGCATGCCCAGGACTGAGGTGGACGCAGGTTGGTACCGTGAAATTGCAGTTATAACCAACTACCGGAATGCGCAAATTATGGACATACCCAGGCAAAATTATGGGCATACCCGGGACTGAGGTGGACTGGCCAAATTTTTCATATACCCTACCACTGGATGACTGAAATTATGCTCATACCCAGCAGCCGCTGGGCCACACCACATGGTGGGCATGAGCGTAAGTTTGTGGTCTCTGCCATCCAAGGCCCACCCCTGGCTGTGGGTACACCCGCAATTTTGCCAGCCCGTTTCTGGGCGTGGGCGTAATTTCGTTGCCCGAGGGCCTGAGGGACTGGGTTTGCGTGCAATTTCGCACAGGGGAAAAGTCTGGTACTATGCAAAGTTGAACGGGGTCCAAGTATAGATGCAAGTTGGGCGCTGGGACTGGGTATAACGGGTATTCCCATCTTTAAGCAGGGTACAGAATCTACAGATGCAATTTTCCCTGAAAAGAAAAGCCCAGATTGCGAAAGCGCCCTTCTACTTTTTGTAACGACCACTCGTGTCCGTGAATGTATACATGCAATGGTTCAGGTCCAGTACAGTCATGCTGAAGGTTGCTGTGGTCTCCGAAACTGTACTTCCTATGGATCTCGGTAAGGGCTCCTTGTCTGTCTCCTTGAATGTGCACAAGCCACAATTTGTGCCGGATGTGTCAAACTATCCATTCTGTACAGCACAATGCACACTTAGACTGAACCCTTAGGTAATGGGAATTGAAAATTGACGATGGCCCGGTGGGATTGAATTCATTGATTGCTCTAGCTTACTGAAACCTCACGGAGCATAAGTTTTCTTTCCTTCTTTGCTCGGTTATGAAATCAATCGCTTATCTTACTTTGCGTATAATGACTGGATTAGACTTGAAAGATCGCTTGCATACGTTCCAGCAGCGTGCCTGAGAGAAAACCACGCACACACACAATCCCCGTCATGAGTCTGCGAATAGATACTGCGGAAACTCATGAAACCTGCTCAATGCCTCTCTGTGATGTCTCACCTGCGATCCGGATTGGATGTGGTTCACGTGCCTTGTGCCGTGAGGATTACAAACACATTTTTTGTTTTCATACGTATGATGACAGTCAACACTGCACTCGTGTACACGGAACCCTGACATGTCCGTTGTCCAATTTGTAGACGGGCTGGAACGTCAATGCTTATGCAATTGCGGTCGGCATGCCTCTGTGTTCCTAGCATGCAGGCGCCACATAGCCTGTGACATCTGTGTACGCCGTGCCATTTGATGCGGCAACTGCAGCTGCAAATATTGAATGGGGTGCTTCGACAGTCCACAGTCCACATCCGAACCGGTCCTGTCCAGTCCGCAGGGGTGGCCACTTACCGTGGGCAACGGCAGCTCCTCAACTCAAAATCTCCTGCAACCCAAACACCTGCTGGCCTCTTGTGCTATTTTAGAATAGTCTGCTCCAGCGGCGGTGCTATTTTAGAATAGTGTGCTCCAGCGGCGAGTAACGAGAACTATGTGAAATTCATCTTTCCTCTGTTCTGTTCTTTGCATTTCCACTTCCCTCTTCTACCCTTCTCCCTCCTCCGCCCCTTGCTTCCTATTGAACTCCAACCGCTACCCCTGTCCTTCCTCCCTCCTCTTGTGTACTAACTTGTAAATGCATATGAATGAGCATCATTCAGAGAACAGACAAATATAAGCTGAAGATCTGAAGAAAAATGAACAGGAGTATACCTCCCCCTTTACTCTGCCTCCTTTCATAACGTGCAAGTGGGCTGTTAAGGCACAATGGGATGTGGGCAGCTGGCGCTCAACCACGATCAACGTGGCTAGCCTTGTACGTGAGAGGGGCACAGGTACTCCGAAGAAAGCCAAAGACTAGATTAAAACTGTTTCATTGTTCGAATGTCCCAAATACTTGCTGGCCTCTTGTGCTATTCTAGAATAGTCTGCTCCAGCAGCGGTGCTATTTTAGAATAGTCTGCTCCAGCGGCGAGTAATGGGAACTATGTGAAATTCATCTTTCCTCTGTTCTGTTCTTTGCACTTCCACTTCCCTCTTCTACCCTTTCTCCCTCCTCCGCCCCTTGCTTCCTATCAAACTCCAACCTCTACCGCTGTCCTTCCTCCCTCCTCTTGTGTACTAACTTGTAAATGCATATGAATGAGCATCATTCAGAGAACAGACAAAATATAAGCTGAAGATCTGAAGAAAAATGAACAGGAGTATACCTCCCCCTTTACTCTGCCTCCTTTCATAACGTGCAAGTGGGCTGTTAAGGTACACGGGGATGTGGGCAGCTGGCGCTCAACCACGATCAACGTGGCCAGCCTTGTACGTGAGAGGGGCACAGTAAAAAGGGAGTGCAAGAACACATATAAGGGGTACTCCAAAGAAAGCCAAAGACTAGAGGTAAAACTGTTTCGTTGTTCGAATGGCTCATCTAAAGTGTGCTTCATTGTCTGCCATAGATAGAGGTAAAGCTGCACTGATTTTGGATCTACTTGCAATGACTTCCTGTTTTCTGGTCGCCTGTAGCCTCTCTCTGCCGAGGCTGTACTATAGGTAGGACAGATTCACAATTTTGTTTGGCTGAGGGCTAACCGAGAGTCCTACCTGTGAGGGAAATTCGTGAGGGACATATCTGCAAATTCAGGAAATATGCAGGCCCGGTACTAACAGAATTCCCTACAGCTACCCTAACTGCGAATAGCCCGGGCTACCCCTAGTACAGACAGGCCCTAAGGGCCTATTCTGATAGACGGTTCTATAGCCTATATCCGGGTCCGGTAGAGGCCAAGAGGCCGAAACAGAAACGGTACCGGTTGGTCAGTCAGTCCGGTCTAGGTTGGGTCTAGGCTAGTGTAGTCTATAGATAGGATGGGCACATCGGTTCAGGGCTTTTTGGCAGTTGGTACCGAGTACATCGCTGCTGCACTACGCGTGAACCGGAAGTGGTGACGGCTCAGCGTGGAAGGAGACAGGCATAGCCAGACTTTCGGAGTGCCGGCCATAGCTGGGACCTGCGCTGTACTCTGCCAGCACGCGGGGGCTGACAGAGGTTGGGGTTATCAAGGTCTGCTGGAGGCGAGAGAGATTGGTGCCCTGCTGGACCCCCCTCCGGAGTGGAGTTCCAGGGTGATGGCGCTGCAGCCATAGCTGCAGCTTCTTCCTCAGAGGTCATCCAGGGTGGTGGCGCTGCTGCAGACTTCCACCCGGGAAGTCTTTCGACACTTCGTCATCATCAGATACTGTGGCGTTGGTCTTCTTCTTCATCCTCTGAGTGGCGCTTGGCCTCAGGGGCCTGTTTCAGGGTGGAACTTCCCTCAGGAGGCTGTATTTGGGTGGCGCTTGATGATTCAGGGGCTCAGGGGTGTTACGGGTGCTAATCAAGGTTGGGGAGTGAAGCGCTGCTCAATTCTGAGCAGCGCACTGTAGTTCTGAAGTTATCCTGACAATTCGAGACTCTGAGTTTAATAAACAGTGTGTAACTGGGTTTGGACTATCATCGTTTCATTGTTTCCTGGATGTGATCTGCTCGGCTTGTCTCTATGACTGGTTGTGAGGATTGAGTGGAGTGAATTGCACTTTCAGTGTACCCTGTCATATCGCATGGTTAAGTCTTCCGATGTGTTTATCTCTCCCTGTGCGGTGTGATACTCCTATCCTCTCCCCTTCCTTCTGTGTATGTATGGGCATACTTGGAAGTCTATGTGAGTGTGTGTTGGTCTTCAGACCAAACAAACAACCAGAATCATAACATACTCATCTGGGTGGAACAGGGGCTGTTGTGGTGAAAATCGACAACTCACACAGGCCACACCCAAACCGGTCCTTCCCGGTCTGTAGAGGTGGCCACTTACCATAGGCACATACCATAGGCAACGACTGCTCCTCAAATCTTATGCAACCCACACACTGACTGGCCTCATGAGCCATTCTAGAGTGGTCTGCCCCAGCGGTCACTATTTAGAACCCTGTCAGAACTCCACCTCCCATTTCCTTTCCTCCCTCCTCTTGTGTATTACTAGTAATACATATGGGTGAGCATCATTAGAGAACAGACAAAATATAAGTTGAAGATCTCAGAAGAAATGAACAGGAATATACCTACACCTTTGCCCTGCCTCCTTTCAACTGTGCAAGTGGGCTGTTATGGCACACGGGGATGTGGGCAGCCCACACTGAACCACAATCAAAGTGGCGAGCTTTGTGCATGCGAGGCACGGTAAAAGGGGGGCTGCAAGAACAAGTGAAAGGGGTACCCCCAAGAAAGCGAACGTGAACACAATGCAGAAAGGGGTTTACAGCTTTGCATGCATGCCTCTATTGTACTTCAACGTTGCTTGCTATAGAGGTGAAGCTGTTTCATTGTTGGGTAGTCTCAACTCAAGGGCTTTCATTGTCTGTAATAGGATTGAATATGCTTTGATTTTGTGTCTGCTCATCTGGGTGGACTAAGGGCTGTTGTGGTGAAAATTCAAAACACACACACACACACACACACACACACACACACACACACACTGTTCACACTCACCTTCCTGGGCAGCGTCTGGGCCAAACAGAGGCCCGGAAAATCCCAGTAATATTTTTTGGGGGGCATCCAGGACCCAGAAAATGTCCTGAGTGACCCGCTTTTTTTTCTCTTCCCAAAAATGGTCTGGGGGAGGACAATCGCGACCTACCAGACCGGACACCAGGCCCAGAATGTGTGGATCCCTATCCAGACATCCGTTGTCACCCTATAACTTCTTATCTCCCCTTCTTTGTCCTCATGCTGATGTTTAACAAACAATCGTGTTCGACTGCACATAGTGTTAATGTGCTTGGTTGCAATTCTGCTTCAAGTGGAAGCTGATCCATGATCGTCTGAATGCATCGAAGCCTTGTTTATCCGATCCACTTTCGCTGCTTCGCAAGAACAAAATAGTCATAGACCCCACCAGATTAAATCACACTGGGACCCTAGAAGAAGAACCTTCTCCGGTGATCGAAGTGCCGGATCCGAAAATTGAAATGCCAGTTTCATGTGCATGTTGCTGTGTGTTTCCAGTGTCTACTTCTGCCCCCCCTTGGCATGAGTGATCGTGTTCTCTCACTGATTTTTTTTTCCAACAAAATAACCAAGGATCTCTTTTGGCATGCATGCATGTATTTGCAGGCAAGATCAGTTCGTGGCCACGTGTGGGGCAGATGGTGCTCTGATTATCTGGGAGGTGGATGGTGGCAGACAAGTCAGCAGAAGGGTTTTCAGTTCTGTGTTAACAAGCCTTGATGGAAGTGATGAAGCAGTAAGGAGGCCTTTCACCTCCAACTTGTTCAGAACTTACTTTTGGTGGTTGCAAACTTACTTACGAAAGTTAAGAACTTACCAAGGTTAAAAAATTACGAAGGTTAAAAACTTTTACGTATGAAAGTTATGAACTTACCAAGGTTCAAAACTTTTACTTACAAACTTATACGAAGGTTAAAAACTTTTACTTACGAAGGTTAAAAACTTTTACTTACGAAGATTAAAAACTTTACTTACGAAGGTTGAGAACTGACTTGAGGTGGTTGACAACTTACTTATGAAGGTCAAGAACTTACTTGAGGAGATTGAGAAGTTGCATAGGAGGGTTAAAGCACCAGTACACCACACATCGGCCCGCGGGTGTTAGCACGAAACCTGCGCCAATTCGGAGGCCGCCTTTTTCGTTTTTCAACGGCGCCCCACTCCGCGCGGCCTCCTCCGAGTTTTGCTTGTGGAGACAATAACTTTCTGCAAGGCTGGGGCTGTGTACTTGCGGTTTAAGATCGGACATGAAAAGGCAACTTACGAAGGTTGAGGACTTACGTAGGAAGGTTGTTGAACTGTTATGGACCACGTACCTTGTTTTCGTCAAGCGACTCGCATACACATATAGATCTACCTGCCCAAACAACCCAAACTGCTCACACTTCCCCGGAATACAACGTACTGTGATTACAGCTGTATTTAGACTGAAAGATACCCCAAATACATTTACAATGACCGTACGGCGTACGTTGTCTTCGGGGGAAGAAGGTAATAGAGTAGGAATAGAGAGTGTAGGCTGTGTAACCAACTCCACCACTTCCTTGTCCTTTCCTCAATGAGGTCCACAAATGGTGGTAATACTTGAATAGTGTACATGCTTGCACTGTCACACAAAGAATCAACAACCGAGAGACTGCCTCGAAGAACAGTGTGCAAGTCCTCACTCGTGTCCTAATTCACCCTAGCCTCCTGATCACATTTCCGCCAAGTAACAGCTGCCTATTGACATCCTTTGAGTTCCTTGCCCCTGACAGGCTACCTTGTTCACCCGAATAAAATGTACAGTCATGATAATGGTATGTGGACTGAAATGTGGCCCAAATTCAGCTATAATGACCGTACGTTTTGTTTGGGTGAAGAAGGTAGTGTTATTCCGGCCACCATAGCGCAGTACCCACAGGTGCAATCCTGTGCAACAAGTGGATGAGCCTCTCATGAGACCATCGAGTGAGCCCAAGTGCGACTGACTTCAGTTAGCGTTGAGGCAGCCTAGCGGCATCCACCACTGTGTCTTCGACTGGATTGGCTGGACTTACATATATTGTTGGCCAGCCAGTCAGCAAGTCTCTGGGCCTAGCCTATTCTTTGGAACTGATAAAACTTTCTGTGGACGGGTACCTCGGTATCTTTCGACTTTCCACGCAGGATAGAGAAGTACCAGAAAGGCCTCCTGTACTGAGTACCGGCCAAATTCTCTTTGGCAATGTTTTCACCCGCATGTGATGGTTGCGGAAATTACGCTAATTTCCCGGAGGCCAGTTTGAAAACGAACAGGGACAAGCAAACAATTTCAAAATAACACGGACAGCACTGGAAACACAGAGTTTTGCAGTATGTAAGTACTTGCATTTAGAGTACTTGTGGGCTGCGGCAAAACCATGGCTTCTTGCAGACCTTTCTTGAGAAGGTTGAGAACTAAGGAAGGTTAAAAATTACTTGAAAATACAACTTTAAGGTTAAAGAATTACTTGAAAAGGCAACTTTACAGTTAAAGAATTACTTGAAAAGGCAACTTTAAGGTTTTAGGAGTTCTTGCAGAACTTTCCTGCGAAGGTTGAGGACTAAGGAAGGTTAAAAAAATACTTGAAAACAATGAAAAGGATATTTTAAGGGTTTAGGTTTTTTTGCAGAACTTTCTTGAGAAGGTTGAGGACTAAGGAAGGTTAAATAATTACTTGAAAAGGCAATTTTAAGGGTTTAGGGTCTAGTGTTTAGGGGGGGTTGCAGAACTTTCTTGAGAAGGTTGAGGACTAAGGAAGGTAAAAAAATTGCTCGAAAAGCAGGGCTGCACCGGCCACCGGCCGGTTGGACCGGACCGGAACGCCTGTGGTCCAACCGGAATTCCGGTTGGGCCCAAAACGGGGTCCATTTTTTTTATTTTTTTTTTTGATGATGGGGTTGGACTGCGCTTGTCGAGATCTCCCCGAATCCGCAGAGAAATATTGATATGCAAATTTTTTTTTCATGGGGGGGGTGGGGGGGGGGAGGGGGGTGGAAATTCATGAGTTGAGGGTGCGCTGCATTTCAGGGGGTTCCTCCTCCTCCTCCTCCTCCTCCTCATCATCATCATCATCATCATCATCATCATCATCATCATCATCATCATCATCGTCATCATCATCATCATCATCATCATCATCGTCATCATCGTCATCGTTATCATCATCATCATCATCATCATCATCATCATCATCATCATCGTCGTCGTCGTCATCATCATCACCATCACCATCATCATCATCATCATCATCGCCGTTGTCGTCGTCATCATCGTAGTCACCGTCGCGGTCGTCGTCATCATCGTCACCATCATCATGATGTCATCCTTCGTCATCGTCGTCACCTTCATCATGATGTCATCCTTCGTCGCCGTCGTCATCGTCGTTACCATCATCATGATGTCATCCTCCATCATCATCATCATCCACTGTCCATGATGTCATCCTCCATCACCATCATCCGCTTGTCGTCGTCGTCATCGTCGTCACCTCTACCCCCCGCGCGCACCC